GCCGCCGCCCCCCCGCAGGGTTTACGAACAGAACCGCGGCCTCCCCGGTTTTCTGCAATGGCCACCGTCCCCGGCGCAGGTTGACCGATGCGCCTTGTGCTGCTACCCCGGCCCTGTGTATGACTGGGAAAAGAGGGAATCACGGAGAGCACGTGGGAAGGAAACGGGGGAGAAGGCGCGGGGGTCCCCGCGGGGGGCGCGCAGGCCCCGCTCACCCGGGGTCGCCCAACCCCGTCCCCATCTTCTCCCGCTTCTGCGTTGCTGGCGCTTGGCTTCGGGTCCCTGCCGCCGGTAGCAAATACAGAGACAGCAAGCACCCAGAAATTCGTTTTTAGTTTAGTCGGGAGAGGTCATGGGTTAGGATTGCTTCGTGATGGCTGCAAATACAACTTGCAGGGTTCTTGGCATAATTTTTACTAGCCCGTTGTATTCCGGTCTATAGATCCTTTCCAAAGACCCCAAGCAGGCAAGTATTTTTTCTATAATGGAACGGTATGTGGAGTCGGGCAGTTCTTTAACGTGATCCAGGTACAAATCAGTGAAGTGGCCGCAGTTTTAACCTGCTCTTCTGCTAAAGCTCCTCTCCCTCAGACAGACAAACCCTTGAGCAGAGCCCGTACGACTTGTCCCGAAGTCAGCATTCAAGGATTCTGTCACAATGTTGGGGGTGCCCCAAAGAAACAGAAACTTTCAGGTTCTTTCAACTCCTTAGTTTTACTAGTTGCATTTGAGAAAACAGCTTTTCCATCCCTACTTTTTTTACTGTTAAACCTTAGGTTTGAAACAAACGGGATACATGCTCGTGCAGACCTGGATTTCTCCTTCTTCTCTGCTGTATGTGCTAGCACGGCAAAGTAAAACGGCTCAAACAGCCTCCACAGGCTGATATCTTCACTTATTCTTGAAGTAGCAAAGCTGGAGCTTGTTTTTCAAATACGTGTTGTGCATTGATGGGTAGATGAGGGAATGTAAAGCACCTTTACACAATTAACATCCTTCAGTGTGGGGTTATTTTCCCGTTCTATGCAGTAACGGTTGTAAATGCCATTCTGCGCAGTTAAATCTTCTTTTTCTTGCTTAGCACTAGCACTGCAGTTAACCATCGATTCCAGCAAGACAGCTATTCCTCCTAAGGAATTACAAGGTAATTATCTTGCTTGGAATGCTCTGCGTAACTTAGTGTAACCAAGAATTCTTAAAGCATCTTTGCTAGGTATGTCATTATTTTCTTCTAACAAAGTGGTGTGAAGAAGGCCTTGAATGCCGGCAGAGATGACAGATTTAACTACTTTACTTACCTTTTGGCCTCTATTTTTGCATTACAATTGCTCACATGTTTTCTTTTGGGTTCTTTTTCCTATTGTACTCAAAGATGGCTGAGCCATAGACACTAACGTATGATCAGGATGAAGCTGGAAACACAGAAGCACCTTCAGTCTCTGCGTTATTCCAGTTTCTTCAAAATAATCACTCTGTAGCCCTCGTTCTTGCATCTCTTAACTGCTGCAGTCAAAATAGATCCCCTTCCCCAATAAAAGAATCTGTCCTCACTAGATGAATGAAATATCTTTACTTATAAAGTAAGGGGGGTTTTGTAAATGTCTCTCTGAAAAAAGGCAACATAATTAATGCCTTTATTAATCAAATGATGCTGCTTACCAGTAGTCAACTGTATTGCTGCAGAGCATTCTGACAGTTTGTCAGAATTATTTGTGTGCCTAGACTTTAAGCTCTTTGGGCAGGAACGATTCTCTCCCAGCATGAGATACATTAAACATAATAAAAACCCTAAAAAATCCACTTCTGTCTCTGCAGAAAAAATGCTGAGAAGTCTGAAAGGACTTGTCTACCATCCCCTAAAGGTAAGTCCTGTAATAGCGTGGTGCTGCTTCCGATACTTCTGCTGTTCTGTGACCTGGAATGACAAGTTACAACTGTAAAAAGCGAGAGTTTTCTTACATTCATCATCTAAAAACTTGGTGTCCCCTATGAGCTGGTTGTGTAAACTCCCATTATGGGCGAAGGAAGGAGAGACCGCTCCGAGTGGTACTCCTCCTGCTTTTCTCTCTGGTCGGAGAGGGAGAACATGCGAGCAAGCCTGGACAGTTGGCTGAAATATTTGTTAGAAGACTAAAGTTTAGCATTCTGAAATGTCCAGAATGCTGAAATTCTGCATCTTCAGTGCAAGTGTTTCTCAGAAAACAGAGAATCTACTTCTGCACTGCTGGAAAGTAGAGAGGAAGAAGCCCTTTGTACAGAACAGAACCCCCAGCCTTTCTCAAAGCCTGCTTTGCTGGTGGGAAGATAATTTTGCCAGAGGTGGCTCAGTGTTTTAGGTGGGTGTAGTAATATCAGCTCTGCCACAGCAACACAGCAACACTACGTTATCGCTAAAGCTTCCTTATATTATAAACAACACAATGAGTTAATGTTGCATATCTGGAATGACTTCCTAATGGTAAAGAACTTCAGCTGTTTTGTTTGCTGTTGTCTTTTAAATGCTTTTTCGCTGGTATGTAGTGATATGCAGCCATTAAAGAGGGTGGCTGTGTAACTACTTGTTTGCAGAGATGAGATTCTGGTTGTACAGTACTGTACTTATGATGGCAGCCTTTATGAAATAAACAGCCTTCTCTAGAGACTAAGATTTGTGGAATCGTGTAGGAACAGCTCCACCTTATGGCACATGACTTTGTGATTAATCTCCATGTACCACGTGATAGTTTGCTGCCATTTCAGGGATGAGAGTTAGATTACTCTGTCCTTTGGCAGATGGAAACTCACTATAAAATCCACTCTAGGCTACGAGCATAAACTGCGTTAAAAGGTGCTGTGAAAACATGAGAACCTTACGTACACGGTAGGAGTTACCACGCAGAGCTCTACAGTGAGCCAATGTATACGTTTCTGGCATTCTGCGTGAAGCTAAGGGGACCGCTCTCCTCTTCAGGAGGGACCAAGTGGCATGGTGCTACTATAAAGTCAGCATATACAATGCATAATGTATTCTGGGTCACTCAGAGGGCTTCTTGGAGCCTGTTGACAATGCAGATGCACTTGTATGTGATTTTTGTAAATGGGAACGCAGTAACTCATAAAATGCAAGTCCATATCTCTCAAATTCAGGATAACTGTGAGTACTGTTGTATTCACTACTCTACGAGCTTGTCTTGATTTTATAGCACGTCAAAGAGTTAGGAAGGACTTCATGACTCCAGGTCCTTAGAAGCAGCTGCTACAGCCCAGTGGCAGCTACCGTCCGCAAAGGAAAAGTTCCAAAGCTCTACAAGGCTGGGTGGTCATTCTGAGGAAGCCATGTCGCGCTAAGGCTCAAAGAAATGACATTCCAAACCGATATCCTTCCAGGAGGAAGATGCAGTAATTTAAAGATGAGACATGTTCCGTTGATGGAAAAATCGAGATTATCTATTCTTGGCTGCAAGAACAGAGGACTGGACTTCAAGACATATCCCTCTCACGCTTGCATCCCGTCTTTCTGTGCTGTCTTCTACTCCTTCCATAGAACATGCTAGGAACGGGCTTTTGTACCATAGAGAATCCAACTCCTGCTGATGATGGTGCTTTTTAAAAAGCGATATTGCTAATATTGGTTTGACTAAGTATCATTGAACTAAAGTCTTGAGCTGGGTCTAGACATGCATAAAAACTGAGCATGGTCAGAGCAAGAAGTTAATCCTTGCTTAATTTTCATTCGCTGCTGCGCAGGTCAGGGACAAGGGTTGGTCTGGCACTCCAGGGAAGGGATGTCCACCGAGCAGTAAGCTTGCCTTCTCTTTTAAGTGAGCAAAGCTCACAGCCCCAAGACATTCACTTGAGACTTGAGGAGGAGAGAATGAGGGATGCTCAGAGAAAATGAGAGGGGCTAGGATTCCAGGCTAGAAGTGACCTGGGGCTGACATCTTCTAGGTGAATAGGTGGCAATAGCTGCTTGCTGTAGTTGTTCGTGTATTAAATTAGCATCTTGGTGCCTTGCTTTAGGCTGTAAATTAAGTCACTTCTGTGGACTTAAAACCAAATGAGACATCCTAATTGATCGTTTGGATTTGAGGAGGAAAACAACAGTGTGGGAGCAAGGGAAGGTGGTGTTAAAACCTGATGGCAAAAGTGAATGTTTAGCGATCTTCCATCTTTACGTTGCAGTAGTTCGTTCTGTAGGTAGCTGGTGTTGAGTACAAACCCGTTTAATTCCTTCCCTAAAAGAAGAGTGCTGAAATGCTGATTCAGGAGGGCATTGTGTGTTTGACATGGGATGTGGGGTAATCCGACATTACGCTTTCTTCTGAGCCCTCTGTGGCTTTCAAATGACCCCCCGAGGAAAACCGGGATGGCAGCACAATTGCATCATGCCATAGGGATCTGAAACAGCTGTTCCTGTCCCTAAACTTGAGTTTATGGCTACTCTCATCCATGCAGACAGACAAAATAGGAAACTACTTGCTCTGTTTACAGTGGAGCCTGCAACTGTTCCAGTCAGTAACATGAAGGCTGGCTTTCAGTTTTGCTTGCTTTGGTCACAGCCTCTGTTTGGAGTATTTGCCTTTTATAATTCATTGACAAATGCTCATATTTTCTTTCACCGTAACATAATAAAATGCTTGTCCTTCTACTACTCGCCTTCTTGCCTATTTTGGCTGGGCTTTACAGGCATGCTCCAGCAGTCTGTCTATGGAAAAAAGAATTAATCAGCTTAGCTGGCTGTTTCAGTTTCTCAGCCACGTCGGTATTATAATGAAAGAGTCTGTATGCAGGGACACAGTTAGGAAAATCAGCGCAGGGAATGTAATTATAAATATCAAATAGTGGGCAGCACTGCACTAATCCCTCAATAATTGAGGTGATTATGGATTACTAGACAGCTTGAATTTTCAAGGTACTAGCTGCTATTCATCAGTGTAGGCAGAAACGTTGTGGGAACTTCCCAGCAATAGGACCTTAATGGCTGTACTTGCGCTCGTGAGCAATCTCGAAGGGGATAACTCTTTCAGGTACAGGGCTGGGCTCTCTAGATCACTTCAGTGAATGGAAATGGTTTAGAAGGGAATGGGGAAATGGATGGTTAGAATGGGGATGGAGGTGGTAGATGGCTTCAGTGAATGGAAGTGGCTTAGAAGCAGCCATCTAAATGTGAAATGTGGTTCTAACGAATGTGGTTTTTCACAATGAATTTACATTCCAGCAATGGATTTTTATTCTAATTGCAGAGAATTCTATTCTGTCTGGCGTGCTACCTTGACCTGATCATGCAATGAGTGTACAAAACAAACTGCTACCTGGATTTTTTTTTTCACCAGTAACCTTTGACTGCTGAGAAGTTTGTTGTCTGTTTGCCTTTTTCTTTCCTTAGCTGGACCATGGGTATGCCCTCCATATGGCAGCCAAGGATTGCTTGAGTTCCGTTGTCAGCCAGGATGCCACAATTGTTACTGTCAGACAGCAAGTGCCTAAATTCCATCAGTCTGTCTGTGGACGTGTTGGAGCCAGGAGCGCTCACTGGGGTTGTGTTCTAGGAAACGTAAGGGGAGGGAGTATGCAGGCCTAATAACGGGCATTGAGACGTGATCCCCAGCCCGAAGGAAAACAGGCCACGGCTGTGCAGTGCGCTTGCCTGGGCTCAAACAAGACAGGGCTGGTCCTCTGCGTGAAAGCTCCTGGGAGCAAGTATTGATTCCTTCTCTGTAGTTGCGTAGATGAGATAGACTGTGCATTGCAGAAGCTCAGATGTTGGTTAGCTTGTCATCAGACACCATTAATTTCAACGCCAGCGTTATTCTTCCCCAACTAACCTCCCCAAATTGGCTGTGAAAGGGGATAAAAAACACACCCCAGATGACCTCAGCGCAGCACAGCTCTCCAGCATCATAATTCCAGCCTCACACTCTGTCTCAAGCACAAAATGAAGTGGAATAAATGAATGGAATAAGCCTTTGAGGTGCTTTTCTGCTGCCTCTGTAATTGGAGTCTTTCAATACTGATTCCTCTGGGGTCTCTATGGAAACAGCAGCATGCAGATGATCTTACTCACGTGACGCGAGTGTCTCTATAGATTGCACAGAAGAGTCCAGATGGCGAGGATTGTCCCCACTGTCCTGTGCCTACCATTTACGTTGCCAGGCAACTGGCTTTGGCATTCTGACTTCACGTGCCTGATGTTTGGCGACAACCGCCATTGCTTATTAATTTATCAGATCAGCGTTCCTCAGGCTTGCTGTGCTGCAGACCGCGTATTGCAGCAGAGAGGCTCTGCTGGCTCGCCTCATCAGCAAACCCGATAGCTCTGACTGCACTCCTACTTGTGCACCATAAACTCCCATTAAAAATGGATTAAGACGACCAGATGAAAACTAAATTTTTAATAAGACTTAGCTTTTATATACCTTTCCATTAGCAAAACTCAGAGTGACTAAACATGAGGATAAAGATACTGACCCACTTTACAGATGTAGGAGCTCAAGAGTGAAGGAATTTATCCAAGGTTATGCAGCCAGTCAGTGGTGAAACCGAGGATGAAAATGATCTCTGGAGTACTGCTCTTCTGTTCGAGTCCATAGATAACACTCCCATGGAAAAACACACGTACTGTTCATCTGCATCCAACACGTGCAGGAAAACTCTAGGGAATCCAGCCCAGCATTTGAAATACAGCTCTGCGTGGAAAAAGACTGAAGTCTCTCTTAATAGTTCTCTTCTTTAGTCTATCACCAAGTAACACCTCCTTACAGCAGAGGAGCTACTGACCAGCCAGGCTTTTTTTTAAAAATTTTCTCCCTGTTGCTAAGATTTACTGACGAGTAAACACCAGATTGGTAACTCAAGCAGCTTAGGGAGCAGTTTGCTGAAGTTACCAAATGGTTTCTTCATATAAATAGTTTGGCAAACCTGTGGGTACCTCAAATCCTGCAGCTGTACCAAGGTAAACCATACTGTCTAGGATGCATTGACCTGTCCTTGATAAGATACGGAATAGAGGTGTAGTTTCCATGGGCTTTTCAGAGCGGAGCAGGGGGGCAGAAGATAAGAGAACGGACATGTTGCATGCTGGAAGACTGAAAATCGGGTCTGAAGAAAGAGAGGGAGACTAACACGTAGCAAAAATCCCGGGGCTAGAGAATTCCTGGCTCTGCAACACAGCTGCAGCAGTTGCGCGTGAAGAGTCCATCAAGGAACTGGGAAAAGCAAAATATTCATGGTAAAAGCCAGCAGTAATCAGACCTGCAGGTACAGCTGCTGACACGGTTTCGTGTGAGGAGTACAGCAGGCAGCCAGGTCAGGGTAGCAGTTCTCATCACAACCTTTTTTTCCCCCATCCATTCATTCTGGTCGAACCATTTGTCAGCCACACTGCACAAGTGAGCGACCAAACCCACCCCAGTCCTGTCTCATCTGTTCTGGGCCTCAGCAAATGAAGCCCTGGGTCTACACCAAAGCTCATAAGGAATACAAGGAAAGTCTGGATCAGCCCCCAGGTCTGCTAAAGCTGGCAGAAATGACGACTGCTGCTTTTTCTTTCTGAGTAATAAATAAAACTACTTTTCCTGGATCATTATTACACCAAATAAACCAGACAAGGAAGTTGTTATATTCTGATTCCATCTCAACCAAAATGGAAGCAAGAGATCGGCATGCACAAGAATCCAGAGGAGGATTTTTTGACTTTAAATCCATGGAAAAGTGCAGAGCAGGATGTGGTATAAGCTTCAAAGCTTGGCACAAAGCTGCTAAAAAAGCCAGACAAAGCTTGGCGTGAAAGTTGCTAAGAGTCACCCAAGAAGTACCGCAGCATAGTCTATATACTGTCCTAGTTACACAAGACACAAAACCTGATGAGTAGACCAAGAGTAAATAAATAAGTGCTTTGCAAGTATTGCACGGTAGGAAAATAGAATCATGAAGGGAAAAAGCAAGGATGTATATATAACAAGGCATGAAGCGGGTATTCCATTTTCAGGTACCAGTAACAACCGCTTCTTAAGAGTGCATGGTTAGTGACCTTGATGTAGGCACCGTAAGTAAATGCAGAATGATGCAAGTCTGCTGGAGGAATGATACTGACTGCTTGTGTCACAGCAAGGGGCTTGAAGTTAGTGCCCCAGAAAACAGATGAGAAAACAGAGTTCTCAAGCAACCAGTACTAGTTAAAAAGGCAAATGGGATATTAGGAATTACTACTGAAAGACAGCAAAGAACAAAGCAGAAAACAGAATTTTGTCGCAGACTTAAGTAAATTTGAATCTGTCAGATAACTCAAAAGGGGATCACGTTACTGTTAAGATTCTGTGGTGACAATACAAGTGGACTAATAAAAGGTTAGATGAATTCATGAAGCATAGGGCCAGTGGTGCCCACAAAGCACAGTGGCTCATTTACAAGCTCAAGGAATCCTTTTATTTATCGCCAGGTAGGATATCCTTTCTTTAGACGACTCCTAAGCATCTGCCAGTAGTGTCCTGATGCTACAATTCCTGCTTTACTTTAATGCACTAAACTAAAAAAGTCAGTTCTTCTGACTCTCAGTGTGTCGATACTCGCTTTGATCGAGCGCTTCTTCCCTGTTCCATTCTCACAGGCCTTTTGTGTCCAGAAAACCGGTATCAGACTTCCTTGAGTGTTACAGTTTGCATTTTACCTTCCCAGGCCAACCACGCAGAGCACCACGAGGGTCGCCACTATAGCATCCCGCTCGAGGAGGTGAAAGCTGTGTTTCCACATGGACTGCCCTATCGCTTCCAGCAGCAGGTACTTCATCTTAGAGCAGAGTTGGAGGGAGTGGACTGGTATGTGGCAAGAACCAGACCCACTGCGTAACTATGATGCTTTCCTGTTAGAATAAGAGTGAGTTGCTGCAAGAACGCATTTATACCTGGTCCTGCCTGTTATTTTCTACATCTAAAAGATATCAGTCATCCTAACTGGAATAGTGGCAGAAGAGTATGAGGCTTCTACCTTAGGCAACATTCTACCCAATGTTTTTCATCTCTAACTTCTGAGTACATACTGAAGTACAGAAATATTTTCCACGGTTGCATTTCTGTATGAAACAGGCTGTCTCGTGAAGTAAGCTTAAAATCTTGATTTCTGTTCTGAGACAGAGCATGCTGTGACTGGATCAGGCTTTGTCAGCAGCTAACATAGACTGCCTGCTTGAGCTTAGGACCAGATTTATCTGTGAGTTACTAATTCAAGGTGGTTGACTTGATTTGTTGACAGGCCAGTTGGCCTCTTCCCAATCTCTGGGAAGGTGATGGAACAGCTAATCCTGGAAACCATTTCCAGGCAGGCAAAGGACAAGGAAGTCATCAGGGGCGGTCAGCACAGCTTCGCCAAGGGGAAGTCACGCTTGACCAACTTGATAAACTTTTGCGATGATGTGACTGGCCTGGTAGCCGAGGGGAGAGCAGCGGTCGTTCAGACCCTGCACGGTACCAGGCAGAGATGAAGTCACGTCAGGAACTGCTGTAGTGTGCCAGCACCCGGCTTCTTGTTCATGTTCTGTTCCTTTCCTCAGATCAAAACCTTCAATGAAGCCTGCCTGATGGTGCGAAAACCAGCTCTAGAACTTTTTGCTTACCTGAAAAGCTCCAACTTTGCACACCCAGTTGTCAGATACGTGATCTGTATCTTTTACCACTTACTTGATGGTAGAATGCAAATTAAATGCAAGCAGGTGAGTATACACAGATGAGGGTGATGGTTTGATCCTACACTGACCGCTGTGGTTTAGTCTTCAGGAGGTGGCTCTACCACATGCCTGTTGTCAGCAAAGCTACTCTGAGACCCTTGTGAACCTCACATACTTTTATTTTAAGCCAGATTTGGCTTACGGCACAGGTCCACAAATAGGGCTATCAGCACAACTGAGGAATCGTCAGGTCTGATACAGTGGGGCGGGAGGATAGAGAGAGAAGGAACTGCTCAGGCTAGTTTTGCTGCTGAACAAAAGCATGATGGAATGCCAACCCTGCTCTGCGACCTTTGAGCTTCCTTTATGTCTTCTCGAATCACAGAATTGTTGAGGTTGGAAAAGCTCCCCCAGCCCAACCGCTCCCCTACCCCTGCCATCCCACCCCCAAACCCAGACCCTCAGCACCGCCTCTGCCCGGCTGTTAAATACCCCC